ATAGACAGATGAAAACACTTTGTACATCAAAAAAAATCTTTTACAAAACTTAAAAGAAAATACAGCATTTTACCAAAGTTATGTTCATACTAAGAGTGAATAAAAAACTGCTATAAATCAAAGAGAAAAGAAGCTGCTGATCTTCAGGTAAGGAGGGAGAACAACAAAATCCGAAGAACAAATGGATAAAAAAATTTGTTTTTTTGAGGTTTTGGTGGAATGAATGTTTTTGATGATTGGGAGGAGCACCAGAGGACATCTTTGGTACATTTGTGGATGACTCCATTTATTCCCAGTAAAAGGTTGACTTAAAAAGGAAGGAAGGATAAAATTGGGAAACATTAAAAGTTGGAATGCAGAGAAAAGATAGTTACAATAAAAGAGCATATCATAAAATAAAACGGAGCATATTTAAAGAATAAGCTTTTGCCATTATACTGAAGAGGAAAAAAAAGGAAAAAGGGCCCAAAAAAACGAAATAAACATTCAAAATTTTTCCCTTAAAAAGCGAAATCCGCGTGGAAAATTTGAGGGGATCCTGGGGCTGCTTCGGGTTACTGGAGGATATAAAAGCCCCACGAACGTTAGGATAGCACAACAATTTTAAACCCAGAGGTGTGATGGATGAAAATGGGTTCTGACTAGGTTTGATAAAACAAATCCCATGGAATTTTAAATTTGGTGGATAAACAAAAAGCAAAGATTCCTTACTCCGTTCCATAATGGAAGGTACTAGTGGCACAATTAGCTTATACTTAAAACAAAAGGATGGGCTGAATGTCCAGCCATGTGTAGAGGAGCGCCGGAGAAAGCCATGGTTAAACTCGTGCTGAGTTAAGGGAAAATGAACTAAACAATTTAGGTAATGAGGATGAGAGGAGGTTTTACTGTGAGATTGCTGTGGTCCTAACCCTTAAATGAAAATTTAATGGAGAATTTTGGAAAACCCTGAAGTTAAAGCATTCCTCAGTCACGGCAAGTTCCGTTTGTGAAGTCCATTTGGATAAAACTTATGAAAGGAAAAATGTTTTAGTCTCAAGCTAGGTGGTTAGATGGAGGCCAGTGTTGCATCTTCGAGGCTCGTGTTGAGCTCGGCTTGCGGGAAACGACTATTAACGTGGCAGACGTTAATAATCATGGAGAGGATCGGAAAATCCAAAAGGGAGAAAAAAGATGAAGGAGGAGAACACTGATTAAGTTTTAATATGGATGGATGGGGAAATATGTGGAATGGATGGATGGATGATGGATGATGGATGGTATGGATGGGATGAAGGAATGGAGGATGATGGATGGATGATGGTTTAGGATTTTTTGATGGAGGATGATGGATGGAATGGATGGATGGAGGATGATGGATGATAATGGATGGATGGATGGTGATGGATGAGGATGGGATGGATGAGGGAAATGGATGGAGGGAAATGATAGGATGAATGGATGGATGGAGGGATGGATGGATGATGGATGATGGATGGATGGATGGATGATGGATGGATGGGATGGATGGATAGGGATGGATGGATGGATGATGGATGGATGATGGATGGATGGATGATGGATGGATGAATGGAGGTTTGGATGGATGGATTGATGGGATTGGATGGATGGATGATGGATGGATGGGATGGATGGAGATGGATGGATGGATGGATGGAGGATGGATGAGGATGGATGGATGGATGGATGGTGGATGGATGATGGATGGATGGATGGATGGAGGGAGGGTGATGGATGGGGAGGGATGGAGGGAGGGAGAGGGATGGATGATGATGGAGGGATGATGGATGATGGAGGGATGATGGATGGATGGATTGGAGATGGATGGTGATGGATGGATGGATGGATGGATGGATGGATGATGGATGGATGGATGGATGGATGATGGATGGTGATGATGGTGGATGGATGGAGGGATGGATGGAGATGGAGATGGATGATGGATGGATAGGATGGATGGATGGATGATGGATGGATGGATGGATGGATGATGATGATGGATTGGAGGGGATGGATGGAGGGATGATGGATGGGGGAAATGGATGGATGGGGAGGGAAATGATAGGGAGGATTATGGATGGATGGATGGAGGATGGATGGATGATGGATGGGGGATGGATGGAGGGATGGGATGGATGGATGGAGGGAGATGATGGATGGGATGGATGATGAATGGAGGATGGATTGATGATGTATAGGATGATGATGGGATGAGATGGATGGGATGATGTGATGGATGGAGATGGATGGATGGAGGATTGGAGATGGATGGATGGATGGATGAGGATGGTTTGATGGAGGTTTGGGATGGATGGATGGATGGATGGATGGAAAGGATGGAGGATCTGATGGATGGATGATAGGATTGGGTGGTTGGATGGATGGAGGATGATGGATGGATGGGATGATGGATGGATGGTGATGGATGTGAAGATGGATGGATGATGATGGGATGGAAGGAGGATGGATGAGGATGGATGTGATGGATGGATGATGGGATGAATAAAAGGAAAAGGTGGATGGAGTGGATGAGGATGGATGGAATGGATGGGAGGGAAAGGATGATGGAGATGGATGGAGGATGGATGGATGGAATAAGGTAGGGGAAAGGAGGATGATGAATGGATGTGAGGGATGGATTGGAGGAGGGTTTAAGGATAGGGATGGATATGAATGGATGGATGGAGGAGGATGTGTATGATGGATGGATGGGGGATGGAGGGATGGAGGGGAATGGATGAGGAGGGAGGGATGGTTGGATGGAAATGATGGATGGATGGATGATGGATGGATGAGGAAGGGAAGGATTTGGGAATGAGGGATGGATGATGGATGGAAGGGATTGGATTGGATAGGTGGAATGGATGGATTTTGAAGTTTAAAGGATGTATAGAAGGATGGAGGGAGATGGATGAAGGCTTATTGATGATGAGGATGAAGGATGGATGAGGGAAAGGATGGATGGAGGGATGGATTTGATGATGGATGGATGATGGTGGAATGGATGGATGTGGATGAATGGATTTATGTGGATATGATATGAGTGGATGGAGGGGGTGGGGATGAGGTGGATGGATGGATGGATGGATTGTTTGATGGTGGATGAGATTTGGATATGGATGGAATGAGTGTTTATGGTGTATTTTGTTTGATGGATGATGGATGTTTGGATATGGAATGATGGATGGATGGATGAGGGGATTGGATGGTTTGGATTTGGGGAAATTGGATGAGTATGATGGGGATGGAATGTGATGGATGATTTGTATGGAAATGTTTTGGTTATGTGGTATGATGGATTTATTGGATGATGTTGATGATGGATGGTTTTGAGGAATGATGGATTGATGATTGGATGGATGACTAGTTTGGTTGATATCTGATGGATGAATTGGATTGGTGATGGAAGGAATGTTGGTTATTTTTGAATGAAGGAGGATGGATGGTTTATGATGGTGGATTGTTATGGATGTTTGGATGGATGTATGATGATGATGGATTAGGGATGGATGGATATGGTGGATGGATTGTGGTTGGATTTTTGGATGTGGATGGAGGAGGGATGATGATGGATGGTTGATTTTAAATGGATTGGGATGATTGATGATGGATGGATGGATATATGTTGATGGTTGGATGGATGTTGAGGGGGGTTTTGGATGATGATGTTTGGGTGGTGGAGGGAATGTTGGATGGTTAAATTGGAGGGATGATTGTTTTATGGATGGGGGAATGTTGGATTTTTGTGGAGGGTTATGTGAGGTGGTTGGGATGGTGGATAAGGATTTGGATTATGGAGATGGAGGATGGATGATGTTTTTGATGATGGTTTGGTTGGTGAGGGATTGTAATTGGTTTTTGGGTTGGTTGATTGGTATGGATGTGAATGATAGGATGGATAAATGGAGATGGATGTAAGGATGGATGGATGGAAGATGATGATGATGGTATGGATGAGGATGAGGGTTGGATGGATGGATTGGATGGATGGATGTGTGATGGTTTTGATGTTTGATGATGAAGGGTTTTGTTTGATTTGTGGGATGTGTTGGAGGTTGATGGATTGGTGGGATTGAGGGGGGAAGTGTTATGGTTGGTGAGGATGGATGGGTTGTTGATGTTTTGGATATGGGGGATTGTCTTTGATAAGTGTGGATGGATGAGTAGTGGGATGTGGATGATGGATGGTTGGGTGGGGTTTTTTTTAGGGATGGGGGGATTGGGTTGGGGTTGTTTTGGATGGTATGTTTGGGGGGTGGGGGATTGTTTGGGGTTTTGTTATGTTTTGGGTTGGGTGTGGGGTGGGGGGGGTTTGGAGGTGATTTTGGGTTTGTTTTTTGGGGGGAGGGGAGTTGGTGTTTGGAGGAGTTTGGTAGGTTTGGTTGGGTGGGGTTTGGGATGGTTATGTTTTGATGGTATGGTTGGGTTTTGTGTTTGGGGGTTTATGTTATTGATTTGGTAGGTTTAAGGGGGATTGAGGGTTGTTTGATGGTTGTGTTGGATGTGGTGTGTTTTTGTTGTTGAAAGGTGGTTTTTTTGGGGGGATGTGTGTTGTGGTTAGGAGGGTTTGGATGTTGTGTGGTTTGGATTGTGATGGTGTTTTTGGGATTATTGTTGTGGAGATTTGTTTGTTTTGTTGTGTTGGTATGTTTGTTGGGTTGGTGTTGTATGTGGGGGTGGTGGGGATGGTTATTGTTTGGGTGTGTGTTATGGATGGAGGATTTTTTTTTGATATGGAGTTGTTTTTTTATTGGTTTTGGGTTTTAGTGATTTATTATAGGTTTCAGGTTTTGGGATTTAATGTGGTTGGTTGGTTTTTGGATTGTTTTATATTATGGTATTGGTTTGGGATTGGAAGGATAAGATGATTTTTGTGAAGGGTTTAGGAATTGAAATGAAAGATATATTCTTATTCTCTACTTTAATTCTAATTTTGTCCATAGATCAAAACTCGTTTTTTCCTTTCCCCCAGCACTGATTCTTTAAATGACATTAAGGTAACTCTAGGACAGGAAGTCTAATAAAGTCACGGTTACACGCTAACAGGATACGTCCATGAGAGCGACCATGCTGCGACACGCATCGATGGTGAAGCCTCCTGTTTGGACGATTCCTGTGTGGACAAAAAGGCTGTGGTGTTTATGCAACATCTCTTAATGAGTGAAATGATGAGGCAGGTAAATGTCTCACCTTTCAGAAGGTTCTCATTTAGAAGCTTCTGCAGCTGCTCAGCATCGACGTCTTCATACTGAAAAACATGGACCTATTAACTATTTAGGAAAGTCAATTAAAATGTGAAGAATTACATTACTTTATTTATTTATTTTCAATGAATTATTTAAATAATTAAAAAAGGTATAATTAAACATTTTCTTGATGGCAACAGTATTTGAGATATGAAAAGCTATTTATTTCAATCGAATGATTTAAACCTTTGCTTTCCATATGATAAAACTTTATATTTGATTACATATTTGCTTAAAATCGGATTCTACGATCAGTTACTGCTTTTAGAGCCTTTTACCAAGCAGCTCTTTTACTCTTCATTCATTTTGTTTAATCTCCTTTTTGAAACCTAAAAAAATTTCACCTTTCCTATCTAAGAGTTGAACTGATTGGGTGAATCCAAAAAATAAAATATTGTTTATTGTTATCAATTTAGTTCAAATTAGTTCTGAAAACAATGAAAATGCTAGAAGATATAAACTGTCGACCCATAAAAACTGATATGATCAGTGGAGAGGAAATGGAGCATTCTGTTTCCATCATCAAACCTTTTTGTTAACGCAACACAACATACCAGGGTTTTTTTTTTCTAATCATTAATTCAGAAATATGTGACCTCAGTATTTAAACTAAAATCCTCAGTGAAAGAGGGGGCGGCCTAGTGGATATGACGTAGAGCTTGCAATCCAGAGGTTCTGAGTTTGAGCCCCTCTCCCACAGCCAGCACTCTGGGTCCCTGAGCAAGACCCTTAACCCCACACTGCTCCCCGGGCACCGCACAATGGCAGCCCACTGCTCCCCAAGGGGAGGGGTTAATTGCAGAGAGGGAATTTCTCCAGTGTGAGATCAATAAAAGAAAGTTTACCTTGTCAGAGTATTGGCGGGAGAAGTTTTTGTTATTGGAAACGTCTTTTCCGTTCTTCTCTTTCTTGACCTTTAAACAAAAGAGTTTTCAGTTTGGTGCTCAAGATAAAAATACTGATCAGCAATTATCAGGATAATTTAAAAAAAGGAAAATAGAAACAAACCTTTTCAAAACTGCGTCCAGAGTTTTCACTGAGGAAAAAAAGATCAGTAAGAAGGATTTTATGAAGAACAGAGCTGATAATATCTGCTTAGTGTCCAAATACAGCTGGAAGTATAAATACATTTATTCCACAGCGCAGTTATGTCAGTTTAGTTGGTATCTTTATTATTGTAATTAATGCTCCTTGACATTTTCCAAACACCGTTATTACTTTAAAAGTCTAAAAGCAGTGACCGGCTAGTTAAAGTCAATCCTCCTGCACACAGGAGGCCCTGCGTTCATATCCCTGCTGTGGGGGAATGAGCTGCTACTCTGGGCCCTTAGGTGAGACCCTTCATGCTAATGTCTGCTTGGTAAGTCACTCGGATAAAACCATCTGCTAAATAAATCAAAATTGCACCAATTATTTTACTTATAGTCTTTCAAAAACTGACTTTGAATTCCTGCTTAATCATTTTTGGAGCCAATTTGGACCCTTTTTCAGCACCCTTCTTTTGTGAGAGAATTTAACTTGTTTGTATGTATGTTCACATGGATTAAGGTGTTAGCAACATTAGCAGTTAGCCATGGTTGGTTGAACATCATTTTAATGGCCCTGTTCAAATTCATGGGCTGCATCCTCAGAAGGCCAGATTGGAAGGCCAATTACGTCATAGCGTGGCGCTGAGGTCTGGTCGGATTCCAAGAGTCCTCGTTATGCGGCCTTAAAATGCGTCCTTCTTTTTGCCCGATTTGAAGGACGGTCCGATTTATCCTCGCTATCCTTGGATATCCACAAACTGTAGTTAAAAGCCTTCAGCTGATCCAAAATGCTGCAGCCAGAGTTCTGATGAAAATGAAAAAGAGAGATCATATCTCTCCTATCCTGGCTTCTCTTCATTGGCTTCCTGTTAAATCAAGAATAGAATTTAAAATCCTCCTTCTCACATATAAAGCCTTAAATGGCCAAGCTCCATCTGATATCAGAGATCTGATTGTTCCTTATGTTCCTAACAGAGCACTTCGCTCTCAATCTGCAGGTTTACTAGTGGTTCCTAGAATTTCTAAAAGTAGAATGGGAGGCAGATCTTTTAGTTCTCAGGCTCCTCTCCTGTGGAACCAACAACCAGTTTTAGTCCGTGAGGCAGACACCCTGTCTACTTTTAAGGCTAGGCTTAAAACTTTCCTTTTTGATAAAGCTTCTAGTTAGAGTGGCTCAGGTTATCCTGATCTATCTCTATAGTTCTGCTGCTATAGGCTTAGACTGCTGGAGGACATAGGGACCCCTTTTTCATCATTCTGCTTCATTCTATCTCTATTCTCCTACTCTGCAGAATAGACTCATCGTCTCTACCTGATTAATCCCCATCTAACTTGTTTAGAGTTAAACTGCTGACTCTCCTTTGAGAGAAAGTGTGGATTTCATTACATCGTGGGATAACAGACTGAAGCACATTTAAAGATGGAACCAGAGAAACCTCTGACTGAGGCGCTTCCTCTCATTATTCAGGTTAGTTAAGGTGTTGGATGAGGATAACTGTGATTGAGTTTCCTCCTTTAGCTTTAACTCATAAATCTGCAGATTCATGAGGAAAAATTAGAGCATCACTTCATTTTACTGGGGATGTTTTAATGGCAGATTAAACCTGTTGCGGTTAATTCTTATACATTCAGAGTTTTGTGTTAAAACGACCTACTAGCACTGCGTCTCCTCTCTGGAGAAGATGGTCAGGAGGAAGGAAGCTGTCTCATTGGGTTTCAAGGTGGACGGCACAATCAGGTATTCTCCAGGCTCCAGAGTGAGGAACTCCATCACTTCACGTGCATTAACAAAGGTTTTAGTTTGGGCAACAGGTTTTTGGCTGCTGAAGAAGGACGTCGAGAACTTTCCAACATGAGTTGCGTTCTGCAGGGTCATAAACATTTCACAGTTTGAGAGGAAGCAAGGTCCTCTGGTATCATTCACAGATATCCAAACTTACCTTTTCTGACAGCTTGGGGGAAATCAGTTGAGACGTTTTCATATTGGAGAAAAAATAATATGAAGAATAAAACAACAATTTAAATGTATTTGAACATTTAGAGAGATTGGAATCCCTGGTTTGTTCTAAATTTAGCACTAAAATACCAACAAACAATCTGAAAAGTTGGACGGCCACTTACCTCATAGATGGTGAACCCGATGAAATGGTTTTGCACCATTCGTCTGTTCCTCTTGTCAGGCTTTTGCATGAGAGACACCAGAGTGTTTTTGGCTTTAGAGGAATTAGTTTTTCCATAAACCTTGATCCGATACTGGGGATTGTTACAGAAGGTCTCTGAATAAACACAGGATAATAGTACTAATAAATGTGGCAGTGAAGCTGTAAGCAGACTGAAAGATGCTAATCACTGAACCGTTCATAGCATGAGAGCAGCTCACTAGATCCTCTCACTCCTGGGATACTTTTCAGACATTCAGACCAATGACAGCAATCATTCAGTAAATGGAGTCATTAGCAAACTGTCCAAACCAACAATCGGCACTCTTTGACCAACAACAACAAGCAAGACTCAGACGGATGGAGTATGGAGTCCAACTAGCAACCCTTCCTAACCCTCTGATCTCTGCAGCCATATGTCCTTTCCTCTGCCTTCTGCTCCATCCTACCATCGTTTCTGAATGAAGCACCTTGACCTCTGAACTTAATGTGACCTCCGACCTCTTGAGTTCCAGTGATTTAGGAGCATATAAGGTCTTTATCTGTTCTCTCCAAGACATCAATGAGCTTGTTTGAAGAGGATCACCTTTGTTGTTGATGCAGCCTCCAGCTGTGGTTCCTGCGACCCAGCGGTTCTCATACATGGAGGTCTTCCACTGAGAACCTGGGTTTTCATCCAGGAAGTCGGGGCCCAGGCCACAGATGGCGATGTTGGAGTAATACTTACAGCAGTCTTCCATGGTCATCCTGTGTGCAACAACATCATCACCAACATGTCTCCAGCCAATCGAAGCAGCTCATTCAGTTAGTGACCCATAAATTAGAGTTTTCTTTACCAAAACTCTCCGTCATTTTCCACCGTCAGGCATTCTTCTCGATATTCTGTGCTTACAGTTCGCCACAGCGGAGACCTAGCAAACAAGTCAAGAGCTTCACTCTTCACTCAGCAGAAAGTCAGCCACTAATAATAGTGTTTGTGTTGATGTAGTGACTGAGTGGTGATGCGAGCTCCTACAGATCACTCCAGTCTCCGGACCACTCTCCGTGTCCCCAGGGGTTCCATAGACGCACCAGCTTCACCACCGTTCCTTGGCTCAGCAGCTAAACAGAGACAAACCCAGAGAGCAAATACATACCATGATACAGCCGCCTCCGTGTTTCACTTAAACAATAGTAGTCTCTCTAACTTTGTCCTGAAATCTTCAGCTGTTGGAAATGTGCTAGTTGCAATGGTTACCCTGTGTCCAGTGATCAAGTCTCTGGGATAACTCTGATAAAGTTTGATAATGACCACATTTATGCAATGTTCAGACTGCAAGCGCCAGAAGCAGCTAAAAAGCTCCTGTCGCTTCATCTCTGATCCACATTAAGGTCAGACGTCCATTCAAAAGTGTCTAGATGCGTTTGATGCTCCTGCTGCCTCTGTGTTCAATGCAGAGAGCGGCTTTGCTATATTAGCTGTGATGCTGGTGAAGGTTCTCAGTCATCCAGGTCATTGTCATTCAAAAAAAGTTAAAATCAATCCACTGGACTTTTTTTTCCAAGTTTTAAGACGTTTCTCTTTCCATCCAGGAAGCTTTTTTTAATTCAAAATGGCGGAAGGAAGTAGTGTTGAGTTCCAGGCTTTATACAGTAGCCCAACCACTTGTTTTGGTTTAGAAACATGCACATTGAACCAAACAAACAGGTTTGCCCCTTTGGAATAAGGAGTCGTTTTGGTTTCTTTGTTAGTCTGCAATACCCGATACTGGGCTATGCCTCTGAAACGGGGGGTTGTTGGGGGCAATTGTTGGCCTGGGTGACCAACCAAGATGTTTTGTCCTCTGCATGGGGGTGGGGGGTTTAAATGATAGCAGTAAGGAATCACCTCTATCGCTGCATTGTAGGTTTCTGAAAGCTGAAATCTGAGTCCCCCCCCCCCCTGTTTAAGGTTGTTTTTTCTTTTTCAAAACACCTGTCTGCTTTGTCCAAAATGTGAATTTTCTAGTCCTCAAATGAGTGTCCGTTGGATAGGAAGCAAACATCTTCAAACTTGGAAACCAAGTCCTGTGGATTGTTTTTTTTTTTTACTTTTTGCAATGAAAAAGTAGATTTAATACATTTGTGTGTGAGAAATTCTTCCTGAAAACTTCATCTGTGCAGTCAGTTCATCAGGATTACGACCCTGCCTTCAAATATTATATTGCTGTAAGAACAGAATGCCTCAGGCCCGCTCGCTTCTTGGGGGGTTTTCCCTACGGCGGCTGGAAGTAGATGTTAGCGTTTTTCAGGTCTGTGCTACAAACTGCAGGCAGCAGGATAATAAAAGCGAACATATTCTGCCGGCAGGTTTCTACATTTTAAGTTATTTAGACGTTAACAAACTGTTTCAGAGGAGTGATCATAGCGCTCTGCATCAGCAGTGCTGCGTCTGACTCCCTGCCAGCTCCCAGATCAGCTTCTCATATTGGTTAATGTGGCACATCCAGCAGCTAAAGTTCAAGTTTTCCAACTCCAGCAGCTGCTGCTTGTGATTTAACCAGCAGTGTGGGGTTGAGGGTCTTGCTCAGGAACTCAGAGTGGCAGTCCGTCGGAGTGGAGCTTGAACTCAGAACCTCTGGATTCCAAGCGCAATACCCTAACCACTAGGCTGCCACTACCCCAAAGCAGGCATTAGCATGAAGCGTTCATTTATGCAGGACAGGTGACTTACCACCTGAGCTAGCCAGATCAGAATCAGAATCAGAAATACTTTAATAATACCAGAGGGAAATTACTTTTGTTACACGCTCCAGTTACAGTTTTATATGATATATACACACATCCAACTAGGTGTGTCAAGATGTGCTGCTCCTGCTGATCTAGATGCCCTGCAGGACCTTTAGATGTGCCTTAATGCATGTCAACCATAGACTTTGCATGTGAACCAGCTGCTTCTGCTGATTTAGCAGCATGCGGTCTGAATGTAGAATTAGACTGAGTAAGAGACTTTTCACTGGATCACTGATGACTTAGAGACTGGTCTAAAAGTAAGCACTCGATCTGCTATTGATTTTTCTACCAATCCGGGATCGACCTTGTACCAACCCAGGACCGATCCGGGACTGATCCAGAACTGATCGGTACTGATCTGGTATCGATCCAGTACCAATGCGGTAGCAATCCTGGACCGATCCAGTACCAATCCTGTACCAATCTTGTACCGATCCAGGACTGATCTGGCACTGTTCAGGTTCCAGTCCCCTACCAATCCAGTACAGATCTAGGACCGAACTGGGACCAATCCTGTACCAATCTGGTACCGATCCAGGACTGATCTGGTACTGTTCAGGTTCCAGTCCCCTACCAATCCAGTACAGATCTAGGACCGAACTGGGACCAATCCTAAACCGATCCTGAACCGAACCAGTACCAATCCGATACAGATACTGTACCGATCCTGGACCGATCGTACTTATCCATAAAACCCTCCCTCCCTCCCTCCCTGTGTCAGACAGAAGAGCCGTCACCTCTTTGAGACCCGTCACAGTGTAGGCGTGGCCTGGGACCAGTCCGTTTGGAAAAGTGGTGCCAGTAATGGCTTCCTGAGGACGAGGAGGAAGAGGCAGGTGTCAGTTGGATCTTAAACTGAAACACAAACACAGGTAAAAAAAAAAAAAAGAACATGGATCTTCGCAGATTGCTGTGACTGTCTTAGAAGAACCTGTGGAAATCTTAGACACGCTGAACCATCTGTGCAGTAACGCCTGTGCAGCAGCATCTGTGACGTAAGCCTGTGAGGTAACACTTCTGCAGTAACGTCTGTGATGTTATACCTGTACGGAATGGCCTATGCAGTAACACGTGTGAGGTAGCATCTGTGCAGCAATGCCTATAAAGTAATGCGTGTTAGGTAGCGTGTGTGCAGCAATGCCTGTAAAGTAACACCTGTGAGGTAGCATGTGTGCAGCAATGCCTGTAAAGTAATGCCTGTGAGGTAGCGCCTGTGCAGCAATGCCTGTAAAGTAATGCCTGTAAAGTAATTCCTGTAAAGTAGCGCCTGTAAGGTAGCGTGTGTGCAACAATGCCAGTAAAGTAACGCCTGTGAGGTAGCATGTGTACAGCAATGCCTGTAAAGTAATGCCTGTGAGGTAGCGCCTGTGCAGCAATGCCAGTAACGTAATGCCTGTAAAGTAATTCCTGTAAAGTAGCGCCTGCAAGGTAGCGTGTGTGCAACAATGCCAGTAAAGTAATGCCTGTGAGGTAGCGCCTGTGCAGCAATGCCAGTAAAGTAATGCCTGTAAAGTAATTCATGTAAAGTAGCGCCTGTAAGGTAGCGTGTGTGCAGCAATGCCAGTAAAGTAATGCCTGTAAAGTAATTTCTGTAAAGTAGCACCTGTAAGGTAGCGTGTGTGCAACAATGCCAGTAAAATAACGCCTGTGAGGTAGCGTGTTTGCAGCAATGCCTGTAAAGTAATGCCTGTAAAGTAATTCCTGTAAAGTAGCGCCTATGAGGTAGCATGTGTGCAGCAATGCCTGTAAAGTAACTCCTGTGAGGTAGCGCCTGTGCAGCAATGCCTGTAAAGTAACGCCTGTAAAGTAATTCCTGTAAAGTAGCGCCTGTGAGGTAGCGTGTGTGCAGCAATGCCTGTAAAGTAATGCCTGTGAGGTAGCGCCTGTGCAGCAATGCCTGTAAAGTAATGCCTGTGAGGTAGCGCCTGTGCAGTAATTCCTGTAAAGTAGCGCCTATGAGGTAGCATGTGTGCAGCAATGCCTGTAAAGTAACTCCTGTGAGGTAGCGCCTGTGCAGCAATGCCTGTAAAGTAATGCCTGTGAGGTAGCGTCTATAGTTAGCGTGTGTGCAGCAATTCCTGTAAAGTAGCGCCTGTGAGGTAACACATGGGTCTGATTCATTATTGATGGTTCAATCATTATTCCTTGAAGTATTTTATAGTTGCATAGTTGACTTGATTGGACAGACTTCAACTGAGAAACATGACAATTAAACATCAACGTTTTGAATATTTTAACAGAATCTCAACATCTGTGTTTATTATCGTCCTCAGTATTGGAGTTTTGGCAGACTGCTGGTATTCTATCCTACATGTGCGACCCGTAATGTGTATCTTTGTGCAAACTGTACTTTACCCCTTTTGGTCTGCTGCTGCAGCTCATGCATGTGTTGAAGCGTGCCGCTCTGCACAACAGCTTCCAGAGATCCGGAGAAGGCTCTGACAGCGGGATACACATGTGGACACCACCGGTGAAGTCCCTCATGGCCTCTGCAGGGGTCCCACAACTCATGTCCGCATAGGATCCACAGACCCTGACATATTCAGTTATAATAGTACGTTTTTTTTTTTTATAAAAATATGTATTTTCTTATGTCATGGCAATTAATTAAAAAATTTTTACATACTTGGCATAGGCCTTCTCAAGCAAGGCGGGCCAGAACTCACACTCATCTTTGGAACTAGCAAAGATGGTTTTCCCTTTAATTGTAGGCAGCTTGTCATCAATCACCACGTCGACCCATTTCCCAAACCTCCAGAACTGCATGGTTAACGAGAAAGAGCAGTTAGTGACACCACAAGTTCTGTCTTATTGCAGATAAGCAGTTTCGGTTTTAATTTAGAAGAAAGAAAAGGAATTGCTTTTACCCTGAAATGAAACAGCCCACAGTAGTCCTTTCCAAAGCATGTCTGGTCCAGAGGAACAACCATCTTGAAGATGTCTTTGTGGAACGTCAGCGCTCCAAGAGATGCTAGAAACCAACAATTTCCTGAGAGAAGAACATGAGTGAATGAATGAATGAGAGGGCAGAGAGGATCTGCTCTAAACAGACTTACTTACCAACTTTTCCTTGACCAAAGTCAAACCTGGAGACACCATCAAGCACAAAGAATGGATTGGGTACAATTTTCTGAAAGAAATTACATTATGCCTTCATTTGTTTTAAAGTAGGGAAGTTTATTTCAGCAGCAAAGGACTAAAACTAACCGGATATCACACCTGAACAGCTCAGGCCTTCTTTCTAAACAAACTTGTCAGTTTTTAGAAAAACATAACTCTGCCTTTTAGCTGTTCTTTATTCTTAATTTTTAAGTGATATGCAGGAGTGACTCTGATGCAATATAAACAGGAACATTTGATCTGGTTCTCACCGACGGTCTTAGCCACTCCACTTGGGCCAGGTCAGCTGGGTCTAGCTTCCCCACCCCGATTGAGCTGTTGTCTGGGGGAAAGTGTTCATCGATGTATCTGATGTTTCGGATCAGACAGTACTCCTTCAGCTCCTGGTAGTTCTGCTGTAAAAAGTTCTCTGGGTTTTTTAAGGTCCCATGACCGTCTCCCTTTTGCCGAGCATTTATGATGTTCTGACACACGCCGCGAGCAGACATGGCGGAGTTTAACTGCAAGAGGTTCACAGACAACTGTTATTTTTCCATCATGTCTGGTTAAAGCAACAGTTGAAGCCCTTCTATTGACTCTACTGTTCTTCTATGTAGATTTGCAGAGAACATTGTTCATTATTAACACCATCATAACAAACCACGGCTTGTTTGGTCCGGTCCACCCGCCATGCCCAGTGCTACCAGACCCATAGCATCAGGTAATCACATGAAAGAACCCAACTAAACACACAAAATAGGCTCTACGATCTTGAAAAGAGTGATCTTCAGGAATTCAAGAAAATACAAGAAAATAGTGACAGAGATGTCAGCTGCTCATGATGTCTTCCAGGGAGGCGTTCTAGAAAGCATCGCTGTGTTCTGTGTGGAAACCACGGATTAAAGCCAAGCTCACATCATTTCTCATGATCAATGGACAGATTAGTTACCTTCACTGCAGGGCATTTAAAACCCATTAAGTAAGTCATTCGCAGGTTATCCTATCATACTCATGTTACAAATTCGGTTGACATCACAGCATCTACTTTCTCATCATTTGATCTATTTTAGAAAATTTGTACAGAAAAGATGAATGTAATCAAGAGCTGTCTCTGGAAATTAGGTAAAAAGAAAACAGTGAAATTAAAGACGAGAGACTTTACCTGACTGACTCTAGAGATTAGGACAGAAGAGCTCTGCTGGAGTTCAAGTAGATGTTCTGTGTCTACAGGATGGGGAAGTTAGATACTCCTTTTATATAAACAAAATAAATAAACACTTCCCTCCTCCTGGTGATTTTCACTGGAAATACTTCTGAGACCTTACAGGGAAGATTTTGGCAGTTTTCCTGAGCCTGCCTCAGGCATAAACATGTTATTCACCTGCTGCTGTAGTAGAGATTTATGGGACCATGAAGCAGCGTCTCGCATCAGTCATCGCCTCTTCTGAAGGACTTTATCAGAGAATTGGAACAACAGGCTTTGAATTCTATTTTGTTAATCTATAACCAATCAAATTCATATAATGCAGTGAAGTTGTTGAACCAGTGAGATAATCCCAGCAGGATAAAGACACTGTCAAACATTCTGTCAATATGAGCCTCCTGCAGTCTGAGAGCTTTTCAGGGCACAGCTGGCTGCATGTCAACAGGCCTGCAGGTGTTTGAACAGGAAGAAACCTGAAGAGACAGAACATGGTTTGAATGCCAAGTGGAGGGAGGGGATTGAACATGTTCACATTGGCATCTGGATCAAAGTGCACATCTATTCACAGGAATTTTGTAACGCACTCCCTGAGTTAAAATCAACATCTGCATTACTCCTTTATTTCATGTGAAGAAAACATCTCTGCTACTGTCTTTACTACACAGTCACTCCACAAACGGGAACAATGGGGCATTCAGCTGAATGCATCTTATTTTGTAACAGTCATGGGACTAAATCACATTATGGATGAAAAAATCAAAACTTTCTGAGATGATCTAAGTTATTTAGTGACATTTAGGTAATCAAAACCCAGTCATATGCAGATACTTAGAAGATGTAAGGACGCTGTAAGGCCTGAAGGCCTCAGAGTTCAGGACATGGGAGGCATTTCAAAACCTGTTCATATTTACTGACTGACATTTGAAGACCTTTATTCACATTTTGCATTCAGTCATGGGTGAATTCCTGCAGCAGCCTGAGGCTGTAATCTACAGTATAAACCATCAAAACAGTTCATTTCTCAGGGCGATGCAGAGCAATGTTGGGACTAACTGCATTTCATAACTAACTGTGTTCGTTATGAAATCATTGGCAATTGGCCTAATAACAAATAGTAATCTTTTTTTTCCTAGCAGTGTCCTTTCTGGCGATGCAGCAATAAGAATAATTATCTTGATGCCAAAAAAGAGCCCAACAGATTTTGCTTTCAGAAATAGAGCAGTACGGCTGTCGCCATAGTGTTCCACTGCATTTATGCATGGAAATAGCTTTATTATAATTATGCAAGGTGTATTACAGCTTATATGGACACTGCAATGTAAGCAGAACAGGAAAGGAAAAAGAGGAAAAAGGAGATAAGATTAAAGAAAGAGGAGATAAAAGGGAGATAACGATAAATAATTTTCAGTCTGCTTCATCGCCTGCAAAGAGATGGAAAAAGAACAGAACAACCAAGGACATGGTTGGAGACACAATAAAGTAGCACCTAGATACTATTGCTGAAGTAAAGGTAATTTTATTGACTAGTAGCAATCTGAGGCAGAGCATTAAGTTCTGCTTTGGAGGAGGCAGGCATGACACCAACTGGTTGAAGAGTGTCATGTGTTTCGGACGAATTCATTTCAGAGACTGATAGCAGATAATGGAGGAGAGATTCAATGACAGCATTTCTCAATTGGAACCAAAGGCTAAATGATCCTTTTACTTGGTCATTATGAACAGATAAATGATGCTTCTTCCACATCAGTTATAAGCTCCTCAGATCATCTATCAGTCAACATCATTGTCTGACAGTTAGCTGCTAGTTCTTCAACACATTTTTCTTTCTACTTCTTCAATTAACTTCAATTCAGTTTATTTCTATAGCGCCAATTCACATCATGTCATCTCAAGACACTTTCCAGTTCACCAGATTAACTATTTAGATTGATTCAAAGGTTTCCAAAGGAAATCATTGGAAAACCAGCTGATTGCATCGACTCATTGACTCTTCAGCAATCCCTCACACTAAGCATGCTTGTAGCGACAGTGGAGAGGAAAAACTCCCTTTGAACAGGAAGAAACCTCCAGCAGAACCAGGCTCAGTGTGAGCGGCCATCTGCTGAGGCCCACTGGGGTTCAAGGAGACAGAAGCAGACATAGAAAAAGAAGCATAGATACAAAAGGCAACTGTCAACCAGCTCCACAGGCGGCCCCGTCCAGGAAACACACAGCCAGGCAGACGAGCTCCGAGCCAGCTCCCATGTCAGAGGATGAAAAGACCACATCCAGTTAGTCACAGTCAGAGAAACATGACTACACTGGAAAACAGGCCAAGCTCCAACATCTAGAAACAAAGGTGTTGATGGCAGCAGCACAGCTGATATTTCTCTCCAGGATGGAGTCACAGCCAAACAGGAACAGACCAGATGAAGCTACTATGAGAAAAAGCAGAGAGAGCAGAACGTTAGAGATTGAACTAACAGATTCTGCAGAGTGGGAGAATAGAGATAGAATGAAGCAGAATGATGAAAAAGGGGGTCCCTATGTCCTCCAGCAGTCTAAGCCTATAGCAGCAGAACTATAGAGATAGATCAGGATAACCTGAGCCACTCTAACTAGAAGCTTTATCAAAAAGGAAAGTTTTAAGCCTAGCCTTAAAAGTAGACAGGGTGTCTGCCTCACGGACTAAAACTGGTAGTTGGTTCCACAGGAGAGGAGCCTGAGAACTAAAAGATCTGCCTCCCATTCTACTTTTAGAAATTCTAGGAACCACTAGTAACCTGCAGATTGAGAGCGAAGTGCTCTGTTAGGAACATAAGGAACAATCAGATCTCTGATATCAGATGGAGCTTGGCCATTTAAGGCTTTATATGTGAGAAGGAGGATTTTAAATTCTATTCTTGATTTAACAGGAAGCCAATGAAGAGAAGCCAGGATAGGAGAGATATGATCTCTCTTTTTCATTTTCATCAGAACTCTGGCTGCAGCATTTTGGATCAGCTGAAGGCTTTTAACTACAGTTTGTGGACTTCCTGATAGTAAAGAATTACAATAGTCCAGCCTTGAAGTAACAAATGCATGGACTAGTTTCTCAGCATCACCCCTGGACAGGAGATTGCTCATTTTTGCAATGTTCCTCAGATGAAAGAAGGAAATTCTAGAAACCTCTTTGATCTGGGATTGAAATGACAGGTCCTGATCAAAAATAACACCAAGATTTTTTACTTTATTATCTGAAATCAGTTTAATCCCATCCAAATGAAGTGACTGGCTAATCAGCTTCTTTTTCAGAGACTCTGGTCCAAAGACTATAACTTCTGTTTTATCTGCATTCAGAAGCAGAAAGTTAAGAGTCATCCAGGTTTTTCTGTCTTCAGACATGCCTGTAATCTATGTAATGGGTTAGCTTCATCTGGATTTATAGACAGATATAGCTGGGTATCATCAGCATAACAGTGGAAATTAATCCCATGCTGTCTAATAATTCTACCAATTGGGAGCATGTATAAAGTAAAGAGAATTGGTCCTAGCACTGATCCCTGTGGTACTCCACAGGTAACCTTTGAGCGTGAGGAAGATCTATCATTAACTGAACATCAAGCTGTGTGCAAAAAAAACATGCTTATCTGCTCCCCGAGCTCAGAAACTGGAGTCCCGATCTTTCCAGGTGACAGACTATATGACAGCTATAGGAGCAGCAAGCAGATAAGCGAGTTTTTTTAGCACGAGCACAAGAATAAAGAAGCAGAAAAATTTAGTGATGAGAAATTTCTGGTCAAAGTGGACCACCTCAGTGACCTATTTGGAAGGTCAAAGAACTAAATCTACAGCTTTAAGGAAAAGATAAAAACCTCCCTCAGGTCAGAGACGAGAAAGCTTGAACGTGGAGCAGGCGGCTTGATGAAGGAAACCCTTAATTACTGGGGGAGGCATCGTTTCCACACCAACCCAGACTGGTTCCAGCTGTGCAGAGGAGGACCAGTTTGCTGACATCACGTCTGACTGGGAACCAAGTCGAGGTCCCAGTTAAACAAGAGAGCTGCAGGATGAAGCTTTGGAAAGCAGGAAAATGACTCATTACACCCATTAATCCTGACTTCCTGGTTTTGTTAAAGACGTTTATTCATTTTTGCCTTTTTAATTCTTCTAACCATTATATTCATTATCATTTATGGATTTTATTTAATTTCAATGTATTAGTTTGATAGGCATTTCCTTAAATGTTTAAAATTTGGTATAATTTAATTTTACAATATTGATTTTTTTCTGTATCAAATGGTTCAATGAGTTGTTTGAAAATCTGTAAAGTTTAAACCAGGATTATATTTTTTGGTA